TCCCTGACAAATATTGTAATCAGTGTTTATTAGTTTCATTTTGTTGGAGATCATATATATATTTGCAATTATGAATATGATAATTTATTTCTTAATATTCAATAATTAGTAAGCATATTCTCAATTAATTGTGTACACTTTTCCATCAAATATACAATTAGAGTTTCTTAGAATTAAAACCTGATCAAGATTCTGAAGTTGAGGCAATAATTCAAAATATTATAATGTAATAATTTTGTTTTTATGAATTACTCCTAGTAACATTACTAAAATATTACCAAACACTAATAGAAGTGGATTGGTTATTTTTACTGTTTGAGGTGAGACTCCTGGGTACAGTATTCATTAACATATTTTAATTTTTAAAAAACAGTTACATAACTGTGTGAAGATTGATTGTGTACGCTAGATATTATTTTTAGGCTTTTATCTTCGAAAATTTTAGCATAAAATATTTTTTTTGCACGACTTTGAAAATTATGAAAAAGCCACTTGTTGTTTCTGAAATGACAAATTTAATTATACTGTAGTGTAACTTTATTGTTTAGATTCTTAGTGAATTTTTAAAGAAACATTATAACTCTTCTTTTTTTTTTCAGCTTTAGTACCTGCATCTGTAAAAAGGGAATTATTATTAAAAGTAAAGGAGAAATTGCTTCATACAGCTGGGTATTATGATGATTAATTGGACTATTATGATGATTAATTGGACTATTGGAATATATGGATTATGCTATAATTTAATTTTTGACATTATAATAAAGGAATAATTAGTTAAATGATATAATCGTTTTTCCTTATAATACCTTATGTGTAGCCGGTCTAAATTTAGTTGGCTGTTAAATAAGGAGTGGGGAGAAATATTAACACTATCTCTAAGTTCTTTCCACCCATTCACGCTTTCTAATATTCCATTTCATTTAGAACAAGGGTCCAGAGCTCTTAACAGGTGGAAGTCTCTTCTCTCATTTTAATTCTAAACATTTTAATAATAAGTAGCATTTAAAAAACTTTGTTTATTTCTTATTTTTTCCTTTTCAATAGAGTAAAAGAGAAAAAAAAAAAAACCTGTACCACTACAACCCATGAAGGGTCTGGGGTTCAGTACTATTTAGGGAAAGCACTGTTTCTAGGTCAACGGTTGTGCAAGGAGGTGATTTGACCGAGATCACGCTCAACCGCCAGGTTTCCCCCTTAATTAATTATTTAATTAAGGGTACCCACTTTATAGAGGCTGGGTGTGCCCCAGGAGGGACTCCTAAACCCAAGGTCGCTCCACGGCCAATGAAACAGATAAATAAATTATCTGCCATGGCCGGGGTTCGAACTCGGGACCTTTGCATTGGAAGCTCAGTGCCCTACCACTGAGCTACCCCGCTCCCCAGAGTAAAAGAGAATGCTATCAAATTATAATTTTGAATTTAAAAATGAAAAAAAAAAAATCAATCAATCCTATTCAATATCATTTTAAAATTCCAATTTTGAACAAAAATTCTGTTATTTTACCAATAAATAAGACAATCAGAAAACATTAAAATTAAGTAGATTTTTAATATGCTCTTATTAGAATTAAAACAAAACAATACTGAAAAAAAATTCTCAGAGTAAAGAAAACTATAATTATAAAAATATGGGAGTAATGTTTGTTTGTACGAGTACAAAAAATTAAAGTGTATCAGGAAATAGAGCGGAGGAAAGCAGCAAGAACTCCCCTTTTCTACAGCCAAACCTTTTGTAGACTAGGAATGGACCGGATTCTACCATCGGAAGGAACAGTTCTGAACAGAACAAGACAGTAGGAAATTTCATTCTGCTGGATCAAAGTGTAAACATGTTTAGCTTTTGATATCTAAATGTTTGACAGAGGATTAAAAAATAGTACAGAAGAGATTTCTAGGAATTAGGAAGATACAGAATGTGGATTAGCAAAATTGTAGAATGGGTGGAACTTGTTTGACTTCTCACTTGGATTTACTTCTTAACATAATCTTACATGCAACTAGATATTCTTGAAAACAAACCTTATTTTTGTTTTGAAAGTTTTGAGCCTGAAGAGAGTTAATGATACTTAACTCAGTCTTTTTTCAAAAAGCTCCTTAAAAAAACAAACGTTTGAAAGATCGTGTTAACCAATGTAAATAATCTACTTTTGCCACTGCAGTCTATGGACATGCATTATGCTCAAACAATATATTTGCCTTTGTGAGTACTTTCATTCTTTCCAGGGTCTCCAATCGTGACCAACCATTACTTACGAAGATTATTGTTATCCAATCAAGACTCCATCCTTTAAATAAAAAACTGATTAAACAAAACTTTTCTAGCCTACTCCTAAATTAATGTTTGTAACATTATTTCTAAAGTTCTGTCCTCACCTCTTTCAGTATCATTTGAGCCTTTCACGTTATTGATTAATTACAAATAAACTGTATTTTGCATATGTCTCAACATTTCAGTATTAGTATCATGATTTTGTTTACAACAATATTAAACAGGTTAAAATCAGATTAACATAAGGAAATTGTGCCAGTAGTCATCACAGTGATTTCATTCTTATTTTTATTTGTATTACTAATGTATTACAAAATAGCAAATATCTATTCACATAGAGAATATGTTGTTATTGGTTTTGCTATGGGAGTGTTATGCTGCTGAAGAATGTCAGCTATGATTACCTCATCACTAATATCCTAATAAAAAAATATTAATCAGAGTTTTCAACAAGCTATGTGAGAGCTAAACACTTCTCAGTGATATAACATTACTACAAGCTACTCTTCAAGGTTTAGAAGAAATAGAAAATCTTGATCTAATAAAAGAAGATCAAACTCTCAGCTCATGAAGAATAGGGGCTTAATTAAACATTTCACAAACAAGAGTTACAAATATACTCCATGGACAAGGCTTGAATCTATACTATGTAAACCGAATGCAACACCTTCAATCTGTAGATTATCCTAAACCTATGGAATTTTTTTAGTGGATAAATTACAATCCTCATGTTGTGCACTGTAACTATTCACAGATAAAGCAATATTTACCTGTGATAGCATTAATAACACAATTCCCATGTGTGGATTGAAAAAGCCTATTTAAAAGTTGAAAGCCATTTTCAACATAAGTATTCAGTATATTGATCATTGATTTATGAAATTTCAATTTACAAAAATTCAACTGTATAATGAACAAATTTTTTGTCCTCTTAAAATAGTTCTTTAAAAGACAATGCCTAGTAATTTTCTTCTTTAATCAACAAATTAATGGCAATTATACTATTTTGGAATTTTTTCATAAAATTATTTTTAAAAGAAAGAATGAGTTTGGCTCTTGAAAAAAAAAAAATGCAAGAACATACAATCCAAAATGTTTAGAAAGTAGAGCTGAGAAAAGATTGACAGTATGGTGTTAGACAACAGTACACATGCTGTGCTGCCCCGAGTTGGGCAAAAATTATCCGAATGACGAATAAATTTTAATTCATGATAAAATTCACGACTAATGAATTTTTTATTATGTGTTAGTCACAACTAACATAAAATGAATAATTAAAAAATATATATATATTTTTTTTAAATGACTAAGGACTAAAAATTTAGTTGTTCATTTATCAATTAATTTCTGAATAAAACGTATGCTAAAATTGTTTACAATTTTTTAAAAAAAAATTTTTCCCTCTAACAACTTTCCAATTTGTTTAAGTGAATAAGCAATTATATTCAGCTCTAAGGACGGATAAGGGTTTTTTCTTAGGTTTTTAATTTGTTGAAAACTATTTTGGTTTTGATTTTTTTAAAATTTAATTATTGATACAATTAATACCTATTTAATGTTTAATTTGGTTTGATATATCATTTCAATGAATTTACCCAATACTTCCCCCAACATCTTTAGCTCTCACTTTTTCGACTTAGTCATTAAAAAATAATAGAAATTATCTTTGTTTAATTAAAGATTATATTTTTAGGAAGAATACATAAACACTTTATATATATAAAGTGTTTATGTATTCTTTCTAAAAATATATATATATATATCACAGTAGAAGTTGACGGTTTTTGATAAAACAATGGTTTACTATTTTCAACAAGTTGGTAGTGTAAAACGGAACGGTAAGTTGGAGCTGTGTTATTTTTATCTTTGCGACTTCTAGAAAATTATTCTTCTCGTATCAAACTTATTTACGTGGGTGTAAATATGAATATTATTTGAATTATAGAATAGCTGCCAGAATAAAAGCCCTAAATCATCATAAATTAAAATTTGTATGTATTTTATTGGTTTATTAGCCTCTCCCTTGGTAGATACTTATTCCAGGATGATTACCATACAAACAGCAGACTGCTAAGATCTATAAAACTAGTATATTTTTAAAATAAAGGACATTTCAATAACATAAGTTTGGAAAAAGTTGAGCACCCCTCATCTGAACTATCACATTTCAAGTCATTGATATATTGGTCTTATTTTTAATCATAATTGTCAGTTTTTTGTTTTAAAACTTTTTTCATGATAATAGTATTTAATTTAAGATGATAAAAATGGAAATCCGTAGGTGGTTTGGGAGCATTAGTGGAAACCGTTTACATTTATAAATAAGGGCAATGACAACTGTAGTTGTATTATTATTCAGTTTTTATTTGAATAATTATTTATTCAACTAATATTTGATTTGTATAAAATTTCAATAGTTCTTTTCATATGTTTATTTGTGGTTAAAAAGTCCGACTAGAAATTCGGTAGTTTTCTTAAATGAATAAATTTTCAATCAACTAACGCCCAACTCTGATTCTGTCTGTTCCTACATTACCCACCTATAACATAATATAAACCATTTTTTATTATTTAACAAATTCAATCTCACTCTTATATGCATTCTTTATCACTTGGATTCTATTACAGCTGAAATTCATGCAATTTTTTTTCCATGGAAGTACCCAATTTAAAAAAAAAATGATGGGTATATTCATCCTCACAGAGGAGTTTCCTCTGTAGCGTAGTGAGAAAAATGTTTCCTGGTTCAATGTAGTTATTTACGCTTGGAAGAATAGATTGGGTATTGCCCATTTCAACTTTTGAGCCCGCAAGACAAGAAAGGGAAGAGGAAAAAATTAACTATGGGTCTGCCAAATCGTTGGTAATTATTGGCTAATCTTTCAATTTCAATATCATACTCCTTTTAACTGCTCCTCATACTTACCTCACTTGAAACTATGCATAGTATTGACTACTTGGTTTAACAATCTTTAGTTTTTGTTTGAGAAAAAAACAAAAAAAAACAGCTTTGTTATGAGGTTTTTTGAATATATTATAAACACAAAAAATGGAAATATTTTTTATTACTTCTTCTAGAATATTGTATACTTGTAAACATAAGAATATTCAAATTTATGTATACTTGTAAACATAAGCAACAAATTTAAAATAAAAAAGTAGACATCAGATCTCTAAAATAAAATAGATGTTAAACTCTCTTAAACATAAGTTTTAAATTTCTGCTAAAAAGTCAGTTTATTTAATATCATAGATGAAATTATATTAATTGCATCTTTCTCAAATGATATGTACAAATATACAAGCTTAATTAACAAATATATAAGTACTAGGTACAATTTAAATTTCATCAATTGAATCTACTCTGGAATAAAGAATAGATCTTCACAATATTTTTAATTTATACATATTATGAAATATGTATTATTTAAAAAAGTAAAAATAACAAAAACAAGTATATCAAATAATGGAATAACAACAAATTAAAAAACAAAACAAATATACAAAATATTAGCACATTATACAAAACATTTACACTAAATTTTACAATTCAAAATAATATACAGGCATCGTGACTTATCACAAAATATATACAGATAATTACACATGCACATATATCAATATATATGTATGTATATGCTGAATGATGTTACTTTTTACTGAAACACTGTTGAAGAAAATGTTGTAATGTGTGATAAAGGTGCGGCCTTACATCACTAAGGCCATGAGCTTCGTCAGGATAGCTCTGGAAAAAAATTAAGTAAATGGTCAACAAATTGTTATAAGAAAAAAAATCATTTGGTTGAATAATGCAATATACGTTTGTGAATTATTGTTATTAAATAAAATTCATTTTTCTTTTTTTCTTTGGATTTTTGAATCCACACCTTGGCCTATTATCACAACCCTGAGATATACTGATGTACAGAAAATAGCTTGAAAAGTATGAAAGAGAGGTGTTATTCAATAGGAATTCTTCCGGTGTTGATAATTGATGTAATTAATAAGTTAAATAAATAACTGTAGAAAATAATTTATTTCTACCCAGCAGCTTCGGGCATATAATATAAATATATGGGCATATAAAATATCTTCAATATTTTAAAAATAAATGGAGGATGCCAACATTCAATATGCTCAAATTACATTAATTAAAACCATTTCTCATGAAAATAATAACAGTTAGTTATCATATGTATTTCTCACCCATCTAATTTATAAGATTTATGTGTTTATCATCACTTTCCATTATGATAAAAGTGCGAGGCCAGTGATAACTGAGGCCACTACATTTATTTATAGTTTATTGTAGGTATTTTTATTGATTTAAGTAGAATTCTACATAAAATTTTAATTTTCATATAGATAAATATTAATTATTACTAGAGATATTTTAAAAACCACATGTATATGTATATAAAATTATTAGACCTGCACATTCCTCATCTACGATATAACATAAATAAAGAATCCATTTTCTATTAATACTAACAATGTGAGACGTTTAATTATTTCAAATAAACAAAATTAAGTTACTTTTGAGGAAGACATTTTGATAGCTACCTAAATATTTCATATAAGTAGTAATTGAAAGTTAAAATAAATTTCTTCTTCCCATAAAATAGTGCATTTATGTATTTCCATATTGATCACTGACCGATATAACATGTGAATTATTCACACTGGCCATAGTTTATTAAAAAATTTTAATACTAATGATTGCTTCAATAAATTATAGTATACCTGTTGTTCAAACAGAATGTCTTTCATCTCTAATGCTTTTGCCAACATCATTGACTGTTGGTAGTGGACATTATCGTCTAGAGTTCCATGAATAAGGAAATATTTTTTATTTCGAAGGTTGTCAACTTTGCTGTTCAAAGAAGCCTGTTCATATCCCACATAGTTATCTTCTGGTGTGGGTAGGCCCATGAATCTTTCAGTGTAGAGAGTGTCTGAATACAGAATAATTCATTAGAATAGAAATCCTAAATCGTATTATTATATACATTAATACATTGATACAAATAATGATATTAGGTGCTTTAATAGATTGTTTTTAAAATTACCGTATAATAACCAATCAGTAACTGGAGCAACAGAAATACCACATTTAAAAACATCTTTGTCTTGAGCAAGAGCCATTCCAGCTGCATATCCACCATAACTCCATCCCCAAATTGCAGTTCTATCTTTATCAAGGTATTTTTTTGTTGATAGTAAATGACTAAAATATTAAATAATATAATTAAAAAAGAGGTAGAATATGAAACAAATCATAAAACACTAACCAAAAATTACAAGTAAAAAGAACTCTTATTATTAACTGGGATTTTTTTTAGACCAAAACTTCATTTTTCCCAGCCTAACCAACATATAAAAATCTTTGCCTATCCTGTTAATTACTCAAAAAAAAAAAAAAAAAAAAAAAATGGACCGCTACAATCCATGGTTTGGTTTTGGGTTCAGCACTAAGGAAAGGAAGTACTGATCCTTTCCAACTGTTATGGAAGTGATGTGATCAGCTACTATACTCAACTACCAAGTTGAGCAATGTAACCCCTTTATTAAGCTTAGCTATGAAACCAGACTATGATAAAAGAATGAGTGACTGTTGGCGCAAGGTGCAGTGTCTTAATTAACCCATTTTATTAACTGATGAAGATGTCAAGTCAAAACAATCAAATAGAAATAAATATTTTTACTTCACTTAAAAATGAACTATTACTCAAATTTTACAGAACAGGACAACTGCTCTATTGCTAAGTAATTTCATGATTTCCCTTGTTATAAATTTGAACTTTTTCCACCAAGTGTAACCTTTTTTTTACATGCAATACAGTTTATTTTATTCTGATGCATTCAAAGAGGTCTTACATGAATAAATATAATCGAAGATGAAGAGAAGAATAATTATCATTTATTTTGCCTTCTTATTTGACTGATCACCCCAACTATTCTTCTCTTCATTATTTACGACAGTCAACTATTTAACCACTATTATAAATATAATCGAAATTCATAAATAATTACTTAGCTAACTTAACTCAAAACTGTACTCCCAAAGGGAGGTAACAGACAGTGAGCTCACAATCAAGACTTTTTTAAGGGAGAAACAAAGTTGATATTTGTTATTGCATATAAAAAAATTTTAAATACGAATTTTTACAGCAATCAAAAAATTAAAATTTTATTCCTGAACTGAACCCTTCAATTTCTTCTTTTTTTTTTTTAAATCACCAACATTATGATAATGTAATATACATATATAAAGTAGACTACTGATAAAGGAGACTCAAATCAGTTAACACAAAAATTATCAAGGATTTAGGACCATGTAGACTTCACGAAATGACACAAACCCAACTGCTTTAAATAAATTAAAACCAAAGATCTGAAATAAAAACGTTCAAAACATTTTCATATTTCTACCGCATAAAGGTATAACATGTAAAGTTTGTTGATGTGGGTTAGAAGAGCTTTATTTGTATTAGTAATTCAACTTTCAAACAGTTGTGACATTGCATTAGAAGCAAATTCTGAGAAGTGTTATAAATGTGCCTCTATAGCCCATTCATAACAGTGCTCTTTGAGTTCATTTATTGGGAGAAATAAACTTTACTAAAGTTTATATAAAGAGTTGATGTGGTCAGTATTCATAATTAACTGCCAGGTATTCCCACAACTTAATGAAGGACCTGTCACCCACTTTATAGATATGGAGTTTTCCCCAAGGGTAAAGGGTGTCACGATCCCAGAAGTAATCCACAGCTTTGGATTAGTTCCATCATTAGTCCATCCATTACCTAAGATCAGGATATTTAAAAATTGTTTAAATCCTGTGAATTTAATTAATGATTATGCAATGAACTGATTTATTCAACTTAGTTTAAAGAATATTTTTCCATATTCCATCTTTTTTTTTTTAGTTTTAAATAAACATATTGTTTTTTCAAAAAGTCATTTAGTGATACTTTATAGCTTTGAATCACTAAGAAATTTGATGAATTTTCTATTTGTAAAATTAGAAAATTGTGTGCTTGTTGTGACTGTATTTGATAAATAAAAGGGTTTGTGTTATTTTGGCATACTTACTGTGTTTTTTATCCATAAATAATTGTGAAATTCACAAAAACATTCTTAAAAGTTCAGCTCTATCAAAAATGTACTTATTGACTAAGAAATAAACCAGCGATATGTTCTTTTAATATATCTGCTAAACAAATTCATATTTATTACGAATCAATATTTAATTTACGAAACAAACAAAATTAGAATCACCATTGTTTCCTTCAGATACTTTAACTTTTTTGTTGCAAGTTCAGTTTGAAAGAAGAAAAAAAAATCTGTACCACTACAACCCATGGAGGGTCTAAGGTTCAGTACTTTGTAAAAAAGTACTATTTTTAAACTAATGGTTGGGCAAGATAATGATTTGACCCTTATTATGCTTAACAGCACGGTTTTTTTCTTTAATCAATTAATTAAATAAGGTTACCCACTTTATTGAGACTAAACATGCCCCAGGAGATGGTTCTCCTGATCCGAGGGTCAATCCACAGCTAATGTTACACAATAAATAATTTCCTGCCCCAGCCAGACTCAAACTCAGTATCAGCAAAATAAGATCACAATGCCTCCTTTACTGAACTTATTATTGGAAAATACTAACATAGTGATTTTGTTAAAATTGATTATTCGTAACATTTACTTATGTTTAATTTAATAATTAGACTTAGTTAAATTTAATTTTATAATGGCTTTGGATATAAAAAGTTATAAAAATGGCAAATATTATTCAAAAGATCTCAAGATAGTTCAAGAATTGGCTACCAGTTTTTTACCATTAGCCCTGCCTAAAATGCCCATGGGCAAAGTAAGCATTATCCAGCTGTAGGGCAAAGCTGACAGTCCAGTTTGGGTTTTAGCTAGTAGAGAGTAATAGTGTTAGTGGACAGTTTAAGTTTAGTTGGTTAGCATGAGGTTAGTTCAGTATGAGTTTAATTTATTTTCGGTCAGCCTGCTCGAAGTTAACTCAGAAGTAGAAAGTTAGTTGTGAAGAGTTATTAGTATTCAAGTTGCATTGTTTTATCAACCATCAGTTATATTTGTACTTGTGTATACAAGGTCTCTGGTAAGGAATACATTTTCAAATTTATTTGTTGTTTCTAATCAAAACCACCTGAAAAGATACAATTACAATATATTTTGATAATAAAAAAAAATTCTCTATCACTAAAAATTAAATATATATTTTTTAAAATTCTCGTAAATAATTTTAGATCAAAATATAATTAAACATTCAAAATTCGGATAAATAATATAATTTTCTTGGAAAGGATTAAATACCTTGTTATATTAATTTGATCAAATATTTCTACAGTCCCCAAATGCCTGTAGATTGAAAATAAGGTTTTGTCTCCTTTCAGCCCTGAGCCTCGACCATCAATTCTAGCATAGACAATACTGTCGTTTACTATAAGGGAACTGTACCATTCCAAATTAAATCGCTGGCTTACTACATTTGAATCAGGACCTCCATATCTGTAAACAATTCAACAAGATAAATAAAGTTAAAATATTTGTGGCTTTAATATAAATGAAATTACATATTTAATTGTAACACATTTATCAAAGATTTATATATTTTTTATGGACTTATTCCCAGTCGGCTCCTATTCAGGAAAGAGACAAATCTAAGAAAACGTTTGACTGAACTTGGGGCTTTTAACTCACTTCATAGTTTATTTTTGTCCATCTTTCTAACTTTGTGGGAGGCTTAGGTAACACAGAGTATATTAATAATAATTGATTACTTGTTCACAAATTGTGATTATTGTGAACATATTGTATTCAAAATGGAATCAGAGATTATACATAAATTCAAGGTGAATATCATGTTTAAACAAGGATTACAAAACAGAAGAATAACTGACCTAAATGGAGTTCTTCGTATTATGATTTGAGAACAGGTACTAACTTTATTAATTAAGTTTTAGGAGGAACAAAAAAAACGTAGAGAGGAAATTATTATATAGGTATGTTTAACCAACTTTAATCATAATTAGGAAACCAACCAAAATAAACTAAATATATTAGTGCTTTATTTTCCTTTTTATTTAACACATTTACATCAATGCTGCAATTCATATTTTACTCAATCTGACGGGTCCGGTTTATTAAAGAAAATTTGTTAAAGTTATATTTATAATATTGAATAATTATGTTTATGCCATTGAATCAAAGTCATGTTTAAAATTTGTTATTAATTATAAATACTGTCAAAGTAAATCTTTTCAATTAATACACATTAAATTTTCATTTTCAATTATTTGGCAATTTTTTTAGTTACTTAATTGTCTAAATATTGTATAACCACCAACTGATAACACAATGAAATGGTATGGTACGCGCCTGATGAGGCAGTCTTGTGCAAGCAACCAGTGGTATGTGCTGGTGTAAACGTGTTAAACCATTTAATTATTTGAACTATGAGTAAAATAGAAAAAATAATCTAACAACAATTTTGTTGTTTGAATTTGAGAACAAAAATGCTGATGGTTAACATTACCCTCTAACAGTATTATAAAAATTTAAAGCAACTTTATTGTATCAATTAAGGCACTTATGTTCTAATTTCAAAGCTTGATTATAATATTTAAGCATTTTTGTTTCGTTTTGAAATGTAGATTAAATTTAGAAACTGATTTCTTATTAGTAGTTTAATTTTTCCTCTAAGAATAATTTTCAAAATTATTTGGGATTGACCTACATTTGAGCAAATATCTGTGCCATAATGTGAAGTAATTTAGAAAATAAAAAGAAGTGACCTATTAATAAACCATTATTCTATTCAATCATGAATGTAATAAATGGAATTGTAATGGATTAATTTATATTTGAGAAAAATTACTGTCATGTCTTACACTTGCACAAGCAAAGGATATTTAATTTCACCAGAAGTATCCATGCCAGGAGGTTTGAAGAGTTGTACATGAACCTGATGTCCTCCATTTATCTCTATGACCATTTCTTCACTTTCAGGAAGGGTCACTTCTTCCAACCTTCTTTTTAGCTTGTCATTCTCTTCCCATGTTAATATTCTTTGGCCATCCTAGAAGGAAACATAAAGGTTCCATAATCTTTTATTTAATTTCTTACCAAAAATATGAATATTGATATGAACTGATTAAAGTTTGATTACTTTATGATAAAGATTTATTTCAGGTACCACAGGTCCAGCACATGTTTCCATATAATAAGAATGATTCCTCAATGAAAATTCAGCACCAGAATATAGGCAATTTGGAATATTATTTTTACAACTCATGCATTCAGTTGGTCCACCATCGGCTTTCACTCTGTTTAGAGTCAGCTCACTCGGTTTTCCAGGGGGTGTTGCCAAGAAATATCTGTATTCAGCAAATTTAATAAATAAATCAAAATTAATATATTTCGGATATATTATTTATAAAATAATTGTATTTTAAAATTGCTTGAATAGCCAATATCAAATCAATATGAAATTAACCAATTTTGTACTTACATGTGTTTTTCATCCCAAGCAAGAAGATCTGTTACTGTATACTTTCCAGAAGTTAGAGGTTTTGGTTCACCTCTTCCTGAAATGTCAATGGTTGCAAGATGTCTAAATTTACCAACATTTTTTTCACTTTGAGTTTGTGGAAGTATAACTCCTAACATTTTGGCATCTGGAGATACTAACAGTTCAGGTAATGTAATCCAACCACTTTCTTCTTGATAAGTCAGGATCTTGGGAAAACAATTAAGTAAGAAATAGTGATTTCTGATGATTTTTTAAAAGTTTTACTTATAATAATAATATTTTTCATAATAATAGGTTCATAATAATAATAACAATAGGTTTCATAGCTTATCTGTACTAAAATGTAAGGCTGAAGAGTTTTTTGTTTGAACATTTTAATGTCAGAAATTAACAGTCCAATTTGCGAAAATTTATTTTTTTATTAGATATTCAACCACATAATACCACAAGCTGATAGGAACTAACTGTAACCATAAACATAAATCAGTGTGAACATTTTAAGACAATTGTGCAAGCACAAACAAACATTTAAGCATAGTGGAGTCGACATAAGAGACTATTTTTCTCACAGATCTACATCAGGTAGTGGAGAAAAGCAGTTGTCATACCATAGGGAAGAAAAAAATTGTTTGCATAGAAGTACTTGTAACACATTAAAATGAAAAAATGTATAATTTTTTCACATTATACTTGAATAAAAGAGCAGAATTTTAGGTTGTTAGGAAAAAAAATAAAAGAAAAGAGGCCAGTAATGCAGTACATCATTTCGCCCATCAGAGAACTCTTGATACTAGTAAGCACATGCGAAAAATTCACACAGCATATTGTTATCAAATGCCAGATTAATAAGAAAATAAAATAATGCAACCCATCAAAAAATAAAAAAATCAAACGTTACTTTATCGATAAATATAATCGACAAAGAAAACAAAAATAAATTTAAATCTTCATTTTTGTTTGGAACCAACATGTTTACAAATTTCAGTAAGCTGTATCTTTGCTAAAAATTGTCCGATTTCGATTGTCGAATTTTTTTTTCCTTTTGTAGGGAATTTAGTAATCTTTCATATAATCATGGGCATAACCAAGGGAAAAGTGTGTCATTTTTTAGTTATTCGCAAATAAAGTTTGTTTTCTTTTATAACTTTTTCGGGATGATTGGACTATTTTGTCCGCATGAAGGAGAAGGAAGCCTTCGAAATTGATGGCTCAATGTTGAGATTTGGTGAAAAATTGACCATCATATGGCTTGCCGATCAAAAACACCATCGATAAATAATATAAACTCCTCTCTCGATCATAGAGACCTCAAGTCGATGAAATGAGATATGTATTCAATGACAGTACTACAATTAATGTAAGGTTGTGTGGATGCGAACCCTATGTCTTGCGTTATCTCGAAAATAGTACATTTTTGGGCTTAAAAACGCAGGATCCGATAGTGCCGAAGGAACTATCCAGGTCTTGCTGTACGCATCAAAATCTTCTAGATCCAATTTGTCCCATATCGATCTACAAACCTACCACTGTTCAGGTATTGAAGCCTAGCAAAATGTTTGTATCGGCTTTATTTATTTTAGAAAGAAAAACAAAAGTGGAGAATATGATTCGCTAACCCCCTGTGAAATTCTGAATCCAACGGTACCCCATTCATGGTATTTGAGCATGACAGGAGCTTATATTTGGTACAAAACCGATTTCGAGCCTTACTGTAATAATATATGTACGGATAATTTTAAAGCAACTTGCACCTTTTTTTTTAATGTTGGTTTAGAGAATCATGATGCTTATTATAGTTTATCCTATTCCTTAGGAAAAACCTGATATAGATAAAATGCTAGATTAAAATACTTGAAAATATAGATAAGGATTGTGGATATAAATCCAAATATAGTTATATCGTTACCTGGTGGCATTTTGTGTTTTCCATAAAACATGTAATAATATCCATCTCATTTTGAATTCTATTCATCCAAACTGCAACTAACTGCCCTGGTGCTGCCCATTTAACCTGTCCAAGAACAGGTTCCCTACAAATGAAAGATATTAATTTACTTTAAAAATAGTTTTATTTTAAAATAAATTTTATTTAAGAAAATATGAAATGGCTAAAATCCATAAAAAGCCACAAGATATTTTTGTAGTTATGTAGATGTTTTTAATGAATTTGATTTGATAATTAAAAGCATTCACTTTAGAAATTGAATTTGATGTAAAAATTGCTTTTGAATACAGCTTTTATTACTAACTTGACATCATTAAGAATTGTAGGTAATAGCTCATGATTATTAATTAATATTTCTAGAAATAATGAATTAAACCAACCAATTTCTTGAATTATTTTTATGAAAATGTAAATATTAAGATTAAGAACTTATGGTTAGTCACTTAGTACTATAAAGGATCAATTCTCATGATAGAGATATGTGTAAAAACACTAGTGCAATAGGACTTAAGATGATAACTTTTTGCAAAAGCATTATTTAAAAAAAAATTAACAAAAAGTTTATTTTTGTAATAATTTACGACAATACATACAATGTCAAAGATAAAAAAGAAATTAATATAAATACAGGTTGTGCTGTTAGTAAAGGGAAATCTCAGATTTTTAGCAATATCTAGGAAAATATATTATATATTTTTTGTTATCTATATATACACATTCATGAAATAAAAAAACAAAACAAAAAAAACAATGTATTTGTATTTAACAAATAGATATTAGTTTAAAGAGATTAATAAATGGTTACCTAAGCTCAGCTCGTGGTGGAAGATCAAGTTGTAGTATAGGAGTTTGCTGTACTTGGGTAAGGTCTATAACACTTAGTGTAACAGTTGGATTTGGTCTGCCAGGCTATATAACATAGAACATCAACGTATTACCGTTAATCTTTAAATTACATAAACATTAATATTTTAACGTAATTTTATTTACCTTTGGGTATCTGATGTTGACAGCTTGAGTGTACTGAAATCTCAGGTCTCCAGGTACACCATAATAAGGAATATTCATTACAGGTGTCCTTGAATCATTGAAAGTCGCAAATGCTAAATGTTTTCCATCAGGAGAAAACCATAGGGCACTGTTGGAACTGAGTATTTCCTCTGAAACATAGATTTGTTTAATTTAATTTTTACACTCTCCATTGTTCTTGTACTAAAAATTCAGTAACTTATAATTTTAAAAAGAAAATGAGGTGAACTAATTAATTCAATTTTATTATAATAAATAAATAAAGTGAGGTGTTATTCATTTTCAAATACTTATAATTTTTATATATCTTATATAATTTGTTACATAATTTTCAAATTTTATTCAATAATTGAAATCATATGTTTCCATGTCTATCTAAACCAAACTAAGCACAATTGTTTTCATTCTCCTTGCTCCCGCATGTTTAGGTCTGTTATGTCTGAGCCAGATGATTTCATCAGTGCTTTTATGTTGGCATATGTTATGTGTTTGGATTTAGTATATTATTTTTTGGTTTAGTATAATTCAGTTTTCTTGTTTATAATTAATTAGTCTCATAATTGTCTGTAATAAGTAATGTCAACTCGCTTTTATTTAATTATAAAAGAAAAACTTTTTTTTTTTATTAATTTAATTACATGCAAAACTTATTACCCTTGAAATATCAGCTTGAAACAATGTTGAGTGACATTTTAAAGAAAAACAAAAACAAAAAACAATGTTCTAAAACTTCAGGATAGAGATCAAGTAAAATTCTTCTACCTTGGTCCTCTGATCAAAGAAAAAGTTTTAGAATTCGCTCAAAATGATTTTAAGTCATCAACTAGATTGCTTCATAAATTAAAAACATGTTACAATATTTCTTTAAAAGCAATAATGGAGAGGAAGATTCTAAAGGAGTAGTATTGATTTTCTTTCTTCAAAATAGTAAACAGTGTAATTACTTATGCATTAGCAATACCAAAAAAAATATATATATATATTAATACTATAAGGTATTTGAACTATTAATTTTGTGTTTTTGGGTACAGGCTTACATTTTATATGTATACTTTTGAAGAACTAGCTGCAAAAAGTATACACCTCCAACCTGACATTTTGATGATGTCTTGTAGTGTCCCAAAACTTCACAGAAGCTCTACTTCTATCAAAAGTTTTTTTTTTTATTCATGGGATAATGAATGGAAAGATTACTCCTCTCCAAAAAGGAATTCATAATGTAGAAGATTTCTGTTTTTATCATAGCTACAAGGAATAAACTGTACTAGCATGCAGTTACATTAAACTTTTTTAATTATAATTTTAATAATGTAATATAGTGATGTAATTGTAGAAGGCAATCATTATAAATATAAAGTAAAAATAATTTATATATTACCTTCATAAACCCAATCAGGAACCCCATTATAGATAGTGCCAGGACGGCCAGTACTGGTAAGCCGGTACTCCTGCAGAGTTTGTTCCCTTGCTGATGGTCTCAAATAGATATCATTCATATAAACATATATATAAGAATTTCCAGTTGGAGCCCATTTAACCAATTGGAGAGGAATGCGAGCACCATTCATATCCGTTACTGACCATCCTTTTCTGAAATTCATAAATGTGGTCTAAATTAAAAAAAAATTAAATTTGAATACTAGAGTACAGCATTTTTTTCATTTTAACTAAGCTCTAATTTATACAATTCATGAATGAATGTAAAAACAATTTTATTCTGGGACTACAGTTCCCTAAAAATAATAACAGTTAGATAATTAAGAACTTTAGTCTGTCTTAGATGAATACAAAATGATGTCTAATTAACTGTTGATTGTTATTACAATTGTTCAGTTGATTGAATTAAACAGTATTAACTCAAGTAAATTGTAGGACTTTGGTTCTTCTGAGGACTTGGAAAAGGAAAATTCCCTTTTTAGCCCTCCATACACCAAGCAGCCGTAGTCGGAGTGGGAGTATATAAGGGAGATTACAAGGAGCTGTCTGGTTTTAAGAGGAATACAATCACAGAATCATAGAGGAAAGTAATTCATATGGCCCCTCTATAGTGAAAATGTTTTGTATCAGAAACAGTGAAATTCACAAGTAGTTAAGTTTCAGTGCAAGAACTAAGCTAATTTTATCAGTTTAAATCAGTTGCTGATAAATGATAAATTAAAGTTATTAAGTCATTTGAAGTAAATTTTATGTATCCAGTAAAATGTTATTAATTTGTTTTAATACTTTATATGAGGGTATTAATGTAATAATCAGAATATGAATTCCAAAATAAATAATTAACATTTTAAGTGTAAATAAATAGAAACATTTATTTATTAATTAACTAGCCTGACTATTTATTATAGAAAATATAATATAATTAATAATTCAAAGTTAACATTTTTTATTTTTTTGCTGGCCTACTAAACATTAATATTAGAGTTGTCTAGTGTTTTAGCAAAGTTGACAACTTTGCAACTTTGAACTTGAACAACTTTGAAAGGCATAACTGAAGTACAAATTAATTTGGAGACATAGTATATTGACTTTTTGAAAATTTAAAGAAAGGTTACGTCATCCATGAAGGCTTTAACTGATTCCTAAAGTCCACCCTTTCTCTCCACTCCTACTACTTACATAGTAGTCAATGTTACTGAAGCAATAAAACTGAAGGTGGTACTTATATTGAAGAAGACACTCACACATATAAATATAATTTCATAATATGTCCGTCAGATTGCTAATATATTGATACAATTTGATTCAATAGTATCGAATATTCAAGGAGAGTTTAAGAAAAGTTAAATAAAGTTCTATTTTCATTATTCATTATTAATTTCAATATGTAGTGATTGAAAAGGATATAAAGAATTATTTTGGTAACACAATCTTTGGATAGAGACAATTGATTTTAAATCAGATTTAGAGCTATAACTAGTTATGTAGAATTTTTTATAATTGGATGTTTTCAAATTATTTATTTCTTCAATTGGAAGGGTTAATGGAGGATCTTTAAAAAAGAATAAACTGATTTCATTGTTATATTGCTGTAACAGACAGTAGTACAGAATTGCAAATGTCACATGTATTTGACTGAAGAAGAAAGTTTTTCCATCTTCTACATTTGTTCAATAAGGCAACTACCTGTAGCATGAACCAAATTAAGGTGATTGGAGTGAATTGTGTTGCAGCATTCCGTGATCCATTAATTGGTCACCTTCACCATTCATTATAAAAGGACATCCAGTGAGGAGGACAGTAGCAAAATATAAACATTGTCTTTGATGTATACCAACAAGAAGAAGCCACAAGGAGTGAGACCAGTATCTTAGAGGCCATGGGAAGAGAGAACTTTGAGCCTTGACACTACAGAATTGCATAGACACTGAAAACTTGTTTCGCTGAGAAATACGTTTTGAAATCGGTTCATTCTTTTTGAAAGACCCTGTATTTCATAGAAAGAAAAAGGTTATATTTTGATAAATTACTTTCATAAGGTCTTGGTTCAAGAAATTATCAAGAACTATGTTGGTAACAATCTTGACAAAGATTATGTTGAAACAGAAACAGTTGATTGTAGATTATTTTTTGTATCTACAAAATATTTTCTTTTTAAAGGTGATGCAGATTAAAATATAAACGACATTTAATTAATAATTTAATATCAATCATAGGAAAATTGTACTTACTTTGTTTCTAAATCAACTATGTGATAGTAAGCCAAGAATGTGTATCTGTACATCTGAAAAAATAAACAATTAATTATAGCTGGTTTCTTTAAAATTGAAATAGTAACTAATTAAGTGATAATTACATATCTAAAAAAATAATTTAAATTTAAAAATAATAAATAAGATTAACATTTAAAAAGTAATTTACCTTCTGATATGAATGTGCTAACATCAGATATCTATGATCAGCTGATAATTCATACTGGAATGACTGCTTTACAATCTGAATAACAGAAAAATTAATGTAGATACTTGAAAAATTATTTGCTAATAACTTATTATGTTTTGATAATGACTGATTTGTAATTACCTCATGGTCACCTTCAAGCAAAAGTTTATTTGTCTTTGTTCTTGCATTGAATAACATTATTCCGTTGAGGTTCCGATATAATATTTCTGAGTCTAAAAAATAAATAAATTAAAGTTAAATAAAAAATTAAAACTAAAAAAGAATTTTGATAATTAAGCTTTTTATAATTATATATATATTGAAAATATCAGCAGGGATTTACAAAATCCAAGGCCTGCTTTAATTGAGTAAATGAAAGTAAAATGTGTATTCATCAGGTATTCTGAGAGCATGACATAGTTATAATTCCATGGATTCAAGAAGTTCTATGGTTTGGAAGAAACCCTTTCTCCTGCTGCTTTTTTAGAATAAATTTTTGCTGTCAAGAAAATAATATTGTATACATTATTAAATATTATTATTATATATGCTATGGTTAATCTGAATCTTGGAGTAAATCTATGTCTTAGTGCTCCTCCACAAAGCTTGTATTATTTCTATTTTTCTTTTAAGTAGAGGGGTTCCTTTTATATCATACCTGATACCCAGGATCCATTGAATCTTTTAGGGGAATATTCTCCCTTGATGAGTGATTCCAAAGAGATAGGCCTCATCGATGTGACATAGGAAGCTTTAACAGAAGGTGGAGTTGTTGGCTTGAGGAAGTACAATACTGCAGCTATGACCACTGCTACTAGTACCACTACTGCGATGACAAATGTTGTCCTCCTCTTTCTTCCTTTAGAAAGTAGCTCCTAAAAAAGTAATAATAAGTTAATTAAAATTTTGAAAAACATTAACATATCCATGGTGCTATTTAGAGACTATATAGTTAAAGATTATAATGAAATACTTTATTATGAATTGGATTTTAGTTGCTTTGTCTTTAAAAGTCATTTGGTTTAATGATTACCTACGTTCTCACAAGAGCACTCAAGGATGCACATAAGGGGAAGAGTTTTTCTCAAAATTTTTCAGGTGGATTTTTATGTTATACATTTTTGACGGGAATCATATTTTTGTGGGAGGGCACACCAGGGAACATGGTGGCTATTTATACCTTTGCTTGTTCTCTTCTTAAGTTATGAAGAGGAGAGCAACAACATTTCTTGAGAGGGGGACAGATCTCTTCAGAGCGGTATGTGTCATCGATCTTGGGTGCTCCTTTATGAGAGGATCTGAAGGCGATTTTATACTAAGGAGATTTTAAACCACTATTTTGATTCAAAGTATCAAAGGTTAACATTTAGAATCAGATGTAACCATTTTAACGGAGGAGGTAACTAGATAGTGATAAATTCGTATATATTTTAAATACAGATCGCTGATGGGTGCATACCTAACGTGATCAGGAGCCTCATATTGGAAGAGACATTCCCTTTTTTTTTTTTTTTTGGCACTTCGTTCCAGGGGATTTGAAGTGATACAATGTTCCAGTTTAAATCGTCTTCAAAGATATACATAAGCTATTCAAATCGCATTAATATTACTGAAGATGTGAACAATTTTTATATTGAACCTAGTAGCCAAAGCGCTTAGGGAAGGAAGTCATGTGAATTGACATAGTAGATATTTTTGTTATTAATAAAACTGTTAAGGCATATAGAACATTGAGTAATAATTTGCAGTGACTTTCGTATTTTATTTTGAAGGTTGAGGAAAGCATATGGGAGGACGGATAATATTTGTTTTTAATGTGTGCTACTTATAACTGCCATTCTTTAACCGAGTTAAAGAAATTGATACTCCCTTCAATTCTTTTTTTAAGTCGGTTAAAAATTCATTGCTATTATTATTCTATTTTTTAAACATAAAGTTAAGTTACAGTCAGGTTTAAGTTAGTTAAAAATTAAATTATAGTTGGTTTGCATTGCAGTCAGTGATGTAGACAAACAAAAAATCATTTTCTACATTTTAATAATGAAATAAATTATTAATAATAAACCATTCAAATTTATTTTGTTGCGTACTTCATTGACAATAACCCCAACCAACTTCTCTTACTATAAGTATCTAAAGTCAACCACAGGCGGATCTACGGGGGGGGGGGGAGGAGGAGAGGGGGCTTTCGAGCTGAAGCCATCCCCAAAATGGGAAATATAACCATGTTTTATGAAAAACATTACCTCTAAAAGTATTATTGTTCGTCTGATTAGATTTAATAAGACTTAAAGAATCACTTAAACACCATTTCATTTAGGTAGTTAATTTCTTTCTTTCTTCCCAAGTAATTATCGTAATATATATTAAATATGTAAAATCTTTCGGACTGAAGCCTCTCCCAAAATTAAATCCTGAATACATTAGTGAAGTCAACTATTTCTCCACCCTAAAAGCTTTTGTCCAAAATTTAATTTCTTCTTCTCATAATATTGTATTAGATTATAGAAATGTAATTTTTGGTTGAAAAATGAAATGACAACTAATTTAGATCAGAAGGATATGTTAGTCTAAATATAGAAAGGGATTTAAGTAGATCAATTAATTAAAATATTGTGGATGTCAACAACATACAATTACTCATAACCATAAAAATAAGCTTGAATAAAAATTCCATGAACTTTCTCTTCATTTTAAAAATATGCATAAAATACAAAGGTATTGGAATGCTGTTTACGGAGTATGATCCCTTTTAGGAAACCTTTTAAGAGAACACAGCCGCTAAGAACCATTCCCAGGAGAAGCCCTCAAAACATCTTTTCCCATTATAGGAGAATGGAGGGTTGGTCAATCTTTGTGATATTTTAATTGAAGACACGGTGGATCAGCTGATAAAGTGTATTAAGAAGGCTGTGTAGAAGCTGTAGGAGAGGAAAAGCTAAGGATAAAAAAAGGAGGAGCCCGGACGTGGTGCTATTGTGATCGGTGTCAGGGCTACCTTTGTCGCCCATGTCCACGCATGCTTTTTATCTCGATCTAGTCTGCAACCTCAATACATCAGTCTTTTTAAACACCCTTGACAGACTATAACGCAACAGAGTGTTAAATTTTAGAAAAATTTCAATAGAAACACACTGAAAATAATTATAGATTAATAGAATAGAAATACTACAAAAACCTTTTTAAATCAGCCGGCCCGGAATATTTCAGCGCGTTGAATATTCCTTTTCACACCTGAATCTTTTACATTTCCAACTGGAAATAAATTCGAATCATACCGAAGCCGCAGCTGCTACTTATCATAGGCAGTTCAACCAAGGCAGGAGGCCCAAGCTCGTCCGCAAGGAGGCTAGCTGGAGTCAGCTAAATTTATTGTAAGCTTGAGGAAATAGCGAGGGTATCTGAGCAATTTAAAGGTGGCGGCATGGCTGACCTTTTCTTAATGGCTCTCCAGCGTGCTCAACATTCTCATGCCTTTCCCACAGCTTACCTTACCGTTTTGTCTTTTGTTTTCAAAAACAAACTCCATCCTTCGCTACTTCTCATTTAACCCAAGGCTTATTCGGCCCATCTATTTAACAGAAAATGATTGTCCTAACCTTACAATGGTGTCGACTGGTCGCGATTAACTACGTCCCAATTTGCATATACCATACATGATATGAAAATAAATCATTACAATTAATTCAGTATATGCTTACAGAATGTAATTTTATTCAGAACTAAAACAACTGCAAATTGCCCTATTGGTCTTTAATTAAATAGAGTCCTTAATGGGTCCTCAACTACGATTGATCAGCTCATATAACCTGGAATATTCTTTATCAAGGGTCTCTAAACTTATATGCGAATTACCATGTATATATTAATTAGCTCAGTCTTTGTTTTAGAACAATATTAATAAGTCCTTATATATATTAGCGACTAGAGTTTTTGGATTTGGTAGTTCTGCATGCATTCTTCCACAGCAAGCGATAATTTTCTGTTTAACGATGATACCTCAATACTGCATGGTTTCGTTTGCAAACAGATTTTTTACAATTCTCAAACAAGGCTGTACATTACACATTATAATAGGAATTGAAGATAAGATAGCGTTTTTAGTTAAATGTCCATGTTTCAATGCTGTACACCACCGCCTGTGTCATACGTGTCCTTATATAGCATATACTTGGTGGCACGGCTTACAGACTCGCTTTGTTGGCGTCTTTTTTTAAAAAAGATATCAATCTGCTGGACAGGTTTGGTGATAATTGTCAATGGCGAGAAAGAGTGATTGATTCTTTATTGTCTTACAGACAAAAGTACAATAACAGTTCTATGTTAACTTAACAATTTTGCATTCATATATTTATAATGCAGTTTAAAATTGGATTTTAATTTTAGTAAATAAAGTAAAATAATAGCAATTATAAGAAGAAGTAATACATTATTTTAAACAAAATAAAATAAATAAATAAGAACGAATTTTAAAATGCAGGGAGGAAAAAGAGTACTTGTAAGAAGTTTGAATCCTCTATGGTGCACTCGATCGGTTGGCAGTCAGGAATCGCTTAAGACAGGCCTTGCGGAAGAAGGACGCCGATCTCATCTGTACAGGAAGCTGGTTGAGCTTTCTCGCCGCTGCAGCGTGGAAAACGTTCCTCAAAATCTCAGTTCTGCACGCCGGCAGTTGAAATGTTCCCTGCATCCCCTCATTGTGTACCTCTGTGCAAGAACTTTTTTTGCGAGGCATATCAAGTTGAGCCTGCTATAATCTTTTGATTGCAACCACCCTAATGTATTTATATTTGGAGTGAGCCTTTTATTTTTGTGCCGAATATGAAACGAACAGCGGTGTTGGCCAGTTGGGAATCTGAATTCTGGCTTCTTCCGATTACGATATATCGATGTAAATTGAGTTACAATACCTAACCAGAGAGAGGGTTAGCGGAAAATAGTCTCTCTTCTTCTTAACTTCAGTCGACAATAAACGAAGAAATAACAGCAAACTCGGCATTTTTTCTGGTGTGGAAATAAAAGGACTAAAATGGCTTGAACATGTGATGAGGATGAGCGACGATGTGCTCCAACGAGGTGGGCCGAAAAGTGGATGAATGTGCAAGCATCTTCGACAACTGAAGGTCTCTGTTACCCATGCAAGTAATAGAGAGAAATGGTTGTCAGCGATTGTGCAGACCAGTTACTAGGTTTGGCGATAGAATTAATAGAACACGAAGAAGTATATAGTAGTTTGAAATGAATTTCCATCATGACCTCTTTTAACATTATATTACTTCAGAGTTCAAACTTCTTCTTTTTGTCTGATAGACAAACCAAGACTGAATTTTGGTTTCATAAATGATACAGTCATTTATGTTTATGGTCTTTCGAATAGAATATATTAAAAGCGAAATTGTTTTAGCATTTATGAAATATTTAAATTTCATTTGTAACACTATCATTTAGTTCTCGAGGCCCTTACACTTCGCCATGAGTGATACCTAAGACGCATTCTAATGCAAACAAAATACATTTATATAAGAGTTTTATTAAACCACTTCTTGTGAACTGTTTTATCCATCTTTACATCCTATACTTTTTAAACAAAATCGAATTAAGTTAGAAAAATATTTCTACGATAATTTTACTGCATCGACCTATTATTTTTAGCTTGAATACAATAGTCATTAGAGAAATTCTAACACTTTTATGTTTCATATCGCTTATTGCTTGGAGTCTTCTCATGAATAATACTTCTTACAAATAACTCCTATTAAAACAGCAAACTGCTGTAATGATCATTTATTCATACAATGCTGCAAATCGGACAAAAACAAAACTAAATTTGTTGACAGACATTTAATATAAAGTGAGAAAGACTTGTTAGAAAAAAAAGAAAGAAGAATTTTCGTACGTCATATCTGACGTAAAGAGAGAGGTCCAAGTTATTGATCAATAATAAACCAGCGATCATTTTTATTCCGCAAACATCGTGTCTCAGATCACTCGTTATTAATATTATAGTTACTGTGAGTAATTTTTTAAATATTAAAATATTGCTAGTTGAAGATGAAATGTATGAATCGTGCATTATTTGTCATATTAATTTCAAAACATCAATTATTTTTTAATTTGCAATACAGAGGAATGATATGTTAAAAATGCATTACATTATTTCCTATATATAGCCGGAAAAAATAGATACATGAGAAATCTTCAAATCAAATGACCTCTGTAACCGTATACGGGATCATCTTTTCAATGTAACAAGTTCTTGTCGGTCCGTATTGGGTTTTTTCTTGACTTCATCTTTATGAAAAACATCTCCGGAAAGGATAACTAAGGTTATTCATCAACAAAAATTATAATTTAATTTTTAAAAAACAACAATAAATTCACAATTAACACCAATATGAGTATGAGGTATATGACTAAAAAAATTCAGAAGTGAAAAATATAAGCCAATTTATTTGTGTCTGTATGAGACGAAAACCAATGTGAAATTGAAAAACCAATAAATAATGAAAATGTGAAAGATCAATAATGCATTCTACATTATACAATGCTACAATTGTAAATTGTTTGTTATATTATACAATTTCACATTCTAGCCTATAGAATTCTTAAACTAAATTTTCGAAAATAATTACTTTATGTTTTAGTAGTACAGTGATAATCTTTTTTGTTACAAAATCAACTTTCGGGGAAGAATGGATAGGCAAGTGGGTTATTGACGATAATCTCGAACTTGAGTATTGTTATCACAAGCGGATCCAGAATTTAATTTTGGGGGGGGGCTTCAGCCCGAAACCTTTTTTTTTTCATAAAAATAACGATAATTACTTTGGAAAAACAGAAAGAAACTAACTACTTATATGAAATGGTGTTTAAATTATTCCTTAAGTACTTTTAAATGTAATTTCACGAACAATAATACTTTAAGAGGTATTTTTAAAAAAAAATTTCCCATAAAACATGGTTATATTTTTCCATTTTGGGGAAGGCTTCAGCCCCAAAGCCCCCCCGTAGATCCGCCCGTGATTGTTATTAATAATAGAGGCTTATTTGGAAGAGTTAGTAGACCCACCATCTTGAGCATCGGATGGTAAAATATAAAAAAAAAAAAAAAAAATATATATATAAAAAAAGGAGATATATATGAAAGATTCTTGATTATTTCTGGTCTCGAAGACATATATCATTTCTCCTCCTGCCTGTCATTTTTATTGCTGCACATTAATAACAAATTTCACGGAATAGCACTTTTCTGGAAAGGTCCGGCCAATGTAGGATGTAAATTAACATCTAAATGTAATAGATGAAATTAGTGACTAAAAGGAGAGGAGATGTGGTATAGATACAGAGGCGGGTAGCGAGAAGTGGCCATATATCACGCCTCACCGCGGACCATTTAACATTTTGATAATTACATGGGCCCACCCCCCACCGCCACCCGAGGTCCTCCTTTTCTTTTACAGCTGCCAGGAAGGTAGAGGGCTAATGAAGGTGCCAGCGGCCCTCACGGAACTGTAACATCCACCATCATAGCACTCGTGCTTCCTCCGCCATAAGGTCTCCGTCACGACCGATCTCTGATAGCCCCGTCCTCTTGTTTCAGATATTTCTACTCTTAATGGCAACCAATTTATCTTCTTGGGTATGAGTAATGGTTATCACATAATTTAAAATTCTATATTTTTAATATCAAATAGTCAGGCTAAAATTATGTTCTTTTGTCATCTAAAAAATAGGCAATACTTATCAATATGTATTAATAGAATTTAAAAAAAAACTTTAAAAATTACAACGATTAAATAGACTGAAAATTTGTAAGTATAAGTATGGAAATAAGAAGGAATAAATAGTTGCATTTTGAAGACATTTTATGTTAATCACCGTTATATTATGGATGTCTTATTCTATGTTATGCTATAATAACGATATTACTATTCTATTGTTACTATGCTATTATTATTTATATTACCAACAGAACAAGCTTTCAAACAAGATACTTTGTGTGGGTTGGTTATGGTGCTTACTTTGGGATAGAAATTTTGAACAGGATTTTCGATTGAAGCGTTTGGAAATGGAAGGAATTTATTTTTATAAAAGACATGAATGTAAAAACGTAGATTTATTTTGTATGTTGATCAATGAGTTAAGAGCATTCATTTGCAAATATAAATCAATTTATTTCTATTGATGAATACGTCATAAAAAAATGTATTCTTATTTTCTCTTCAGCGAATGGTATGTATATTTTTGAGCTTTACGGTATTTAAGAACATCTGTTTATTTATCAATTGAATTCAAAAAGAATAAGCACTTAGGTTTAGTGTAAATAGTATAGATTAGAAGCAAGGGCGCATCTACGGGGGAAAGGAGAGGGGAAGGGAGGCTTTGGGGCTGAAGCCCCCCCTCCAAAAAATGGTAAAATATGTTGTAAAATGTTTCATGGAACAAAATAATAAAAAATTATTTCTTAAAGTATTATTGTTCGTGTAATTACATTTAAAAGGACTTTAGCAATCACTTAAACACCATTTCTTCTAGGTAGTTAAGTC